CCTTCGCTTCTGCACAACCACACACACGCGCACGCGCACGTGCACGGACACGGACACGCACATGGACACGCACACACGTCCGCCAGCGCCAGCGCGGCCGGCACGGCCTGCTCCGGCGCCGGCAGCCCCGCCAGCGCGCACTGCAACGCCGGCAGCGCCGGCGCGCCCGAGTCGTCCGCCTCGGCCGGCGGCCTCGCGGCCGCTCTCTCCGCCTGGTACTCGCAGCAGGTGCTCGCGTCGCCCGGCCTCCTCGGCTGTCCGCTTGTGCCCGCCGGCCTGACACACCTGCCCGGCCTGCCGCCGCACAGCTCCGCCGGCGTCGCCCTTCCCACGCCCTCCGCCGCAGCCGCCGCCGCTGCAGCCGCCGCCATCGGCCACCCGCTCGCCTCGCTGCACCACCACCTCGCCGGCTCGGCCGCCGCCGCTCCGCCCGGCGGCCTCCTGCACGCCTGCCCGTCCGCCTCGGGCCTGCTCATGTCGCCCGGCCTCAGCGGACTCAACGGCCTCGGCGGCTTCACCGGCCTCGGCGGCTTCAACGGCCTCAACGGCCTCTGCGGCCTCGCCGAGCTCGGCTTCCCCGGCCAGCCCGGCCGTCTATCCACCGCCCACATCGACTCATCCATCTCGGCGCTCGCGGCTGCAGCCGCCGCCGCCGCCGCCGGCGCAACTACCACCACCACCACCAACACCACCACCACCGGCTACCTCCTGTCGCCCGGCGCCACCAGTCCGCCTCACTCTCTCGCCCACGGACTCCCCTCCTCCTCCTCCTCCTCGTCAGGCCTGCATCCCGCTTTTCTCGCCTCCGGCCCACCCTCCTGTCCCTCGGGCCTGCCCTCCACCCCCCTCGTCACCATGTCCGGCCACAGCGGCTCTCTTGGTCTTGCCCTGTCAGGCACGACGCCGACGCGAGTGTCAACCGCACCGATGCACTGCTCCAACGCGACCACCTCGTGCCCAACCACAGCCATCTCCGTCTCCTCCGCCTCCCCTCCATCGTCCGTCTCCTCTACCCCCACCCCCACCACCACCAACACCAACAGCTGCGACTTTCGCGCTCCCACCGCGTCCAGTCACCACCTCATGCACACCGTCCTCTCGTCGGCCGGCCTGCCCACCGTCGTCTCCTCCAGCAGCGGCCACCTTTCGTCGGCTTGCCTGCTCGGTCCGACCGGCTCTTTCGCCGTCGCCAACCTGCCCTCCAGCAGCGCCTGCTGCCTCCCAGACTCACCGGCCGTCCCGCCCGGCCTCCAACTGCTCAACAGCCTCGCTGCAGAGGCTGCCACCTCGTCCTCTCTCATGTCCGGCTTCAACACCAACGCCTGCACCCACCTCAACGCAGCCACCTCCACCTCCTCCGCCTCCGCCGCCTCCACGCCTCCGCTGATGATGATGCTGCCAACCAGCGCGCCGAGCCTCGGAGGCCTCGGATCTGGGGCCATCTTCGCCAGAGCCACCGACTCCATCGCCTCCTCGGCCCGATTCCAACCCACCGGCCAGCCTCCCGCCTCTTCTTCCGCCGCTTCCTCGTCTGCTCTCTTCTCAGCCTCCGCAGCAATCTGCTCGTCTCCCTCCCTCACATCGGCCAACACCAACATCACCACCACCCCCAGCACCACCTCATCCTCCCTCGCCGCCATGATGGCCGCGGCTGCTGCCGCCATGGCCGGCATATGCTCCAGCGGCAGCTCGGCCATGGCTGACTTGGCCGCCGCCCCTTCCGGCCTCACAGGCGACCTTAGGGCTGGTCACACTTCGAGACGTCTCTCTCCAATCGGCTGGACGGGCCGAGCAATCTCGTCCAGTCAATCGACAACAGTTGCCATGACCACCAAATCGCCCGGCGTCGAGACGAGACCGGCCAAAGAGGAGGCCGACGTGAAGGAGATTGGCCATGCCAAGGCGAAACATCGTGCAACCTTTGGTCGAGGCGACTGTCCGCCGAGGGGACTGGAGAACCGAGTGAACGGACGTACAGAAAGACGGACAGACGCGTCTTATGACTTGGCCAAGTCGATGCTGTTACGACGAGGCCGAGAACTCGGCGACGCTGAGGCTGCTCTGCTAATGGAAGAGGTAGGCCTGACAACCGATGGTGCGATGCTGACCCAGGGATGGATGGCCCACAAAATTATTGCACAACAGGGCATATGAAGACCAAAATGGTGTGGTCTTTTATTTGCTTGCCGTCTCCCATGGCTGCGTATAATGTCGGCTCGACCTAATTTTGACAAACGTACCAAGTGCCATAGTATTCATATCAATGTCCAACATCGGACCGTTGACTTGGTACCTCCTAAAACGTGTCGCCGGCATCGTCCTTAGCATAAAGTTACAACTTATCACTTGTTACTATGCGCTGTATGATGCTGCCGGTGGAAAGTCTGTGAATGTGCCAAGTCAACGATCCAATGCTGAAATTCAGCTTGACGCCACAAGGTCTCCCTGCCGGCCTGACCAAATTGGGAAAACGAGGTCAAATCAACATTGTAGTGATTACCACAAGTGTGGGTTACCAAAAATGCACACATTAGTTGTGCTCACCTTCACACGAAAAGGTATTGTGGTGTGGAATAGCCTAAAGCCATCAGCTTGTGGTGAAATCGATACGAAGAGTAAAGCGAACCATCAAAATAACCCTTCCAATGTGTACCCTTACAAAGCTATTTATTCTGGTGAAACGGTTATAATTTAACCCATCCTTTCTTTACCTTGCATTATTCAGGAAGACGACTGTCTTGACGGTGAAATGCTGGGAATGGAGGACGGGGAAGAAGAGGAAATCGAATCGGAAGAAATCGAAGAGGAGATTGAAGAGTTGGCAGGAGCTGAGGAGGATGAACGCGGAGTAAGTGAAGTTGAGGAGGAAGACGAAAACGAGGATGAATTAGAAGATGCTGAAGATGAGTGTTCTGGTGCCGGGGACGGTGGCGAAGAGGCAGGACGAGACTTCATTCTGGATGGAGCGGCCAAAAAGAAACCAGATTCAGCCGAAATAGGAGAAATGAGAGATCAGTGTAACAGCTACTTCATTGAATCTGGCCTGTCAAACCATACTGGCAAACTGAAAAGACCGGGTAAATCTCGCTTTGATTTGTATTTAACCACAAGGCCATCACATCCAACTAGGATTTTTTTCTGACCATATCTCTCATATTCTGACTTTGTAAATTCAAGTTCTCCTAGCAACCAAGTTGGTGCCGGCTATACGAGTGTGCCCATAGATCAATTCCAAGAATGACAAAATGGAAGAAGACAAAAAAATGCTAACCTCCAATATTCCTATGCTATAGAGTATACCAGACAGGGTTCAACATAAATGAAGCAACTCTCAAATTTTGCCACACAAAAGTCAATTTCCATCATCAATTTTGCGGTTTTAAAAAATCATGGGATAGCCGCCCCAATCGATATAAATACCCATTAATAAATTCGGCAGGGCCAACTAGTTTTAAGCAAAGCTAAAGTCTGCACAGTCTTGCTCACCACTGGCCACTTACATCCAATCATCATATATACAAATAGATATATTTATATAAATGTATATATGTTAGATTCTAAATTCTCATTATAGCCATAACAAATGTTATTCTCAAAAATATGGCGCATCTTCCTCCAGTAATCAGCTTAACATCAATTCGAATTCGTAAAGCATTTCCACCGCAATTGCACCTGTTCCGACACGGACAATGTAAACTAGACAAATTCAAAGCCAGCCAGTGGAATTGTGGAGAAAATTTTTTTGTAAACTCTCATTAAAGAATGTAATATCATATACTATTGCAGTATTAGAAATAAATAAATAAATAAATATTACTAATTTAATAATTATACCAGCATGGTATACCATCATAGTGTGCAATTGGTAGTTTTTTATTATTAGTTGAAATCTTAATTTCTCAGACGGCTTTGCCCTCACCTCCCAGTTGCGATACACAATATTCTACAAATTCATTAATGGCTCAAGGATGGCTGAAAGCCCTCCAAGAACGACTACGTTCTTCGCGGAAGCTATTGTTAAAGGCACTTAAATCCTGTGTAAAGGGAAGTTTTGTCCACTTGATCTAGGAATAGGAAATTAGCCCAACCATACAAGGCTTAGGAGGCTTGGTTTTGCTAACTTCACTGGAGGTTGACTGAAACCAAACCGCCGCCACATTTCTCAAAGGTGCCGCTGTTGTTTATACAAAAAGAATGGCTCCTC